AGAACCTACACATGCATGAGCTGGAACCCTTTTAGCAGTACTTTTTTTTTTTTTTAAGTGTTTTATTGTGAATTATATGATAGTTTACATGGGAGAACATTAGTTTTACATTCATTCGATTTTATATCGTATCATTGTCATGGTTACAATCCTCTCCCTAGCAGTACTTTTTGACTTATCCTCATGTATCAACAAAATGCTGGAAAATTAAAAAGATAAAAATCTCAATATCTCCACTCCCTCAGGATATGGATTGAAGTATTCATATAAGATAGTGTTTACAATGAAAAATATGTGAAAAGTTGTCAGCTTTGTTTTTAAATCGCAACAATAATAAGAACAATTGTAGCAGTAAATGTCTCATGGTTCCCACTGTACTACTGGTAATGCCACTGGGAATTTCTTAAGTACTTTCTGCCTGTCAGGCATGACAGTCTCTGTTTTATGGATGAGAACATGAAAACACACATTGATAATGTTGCCCAAATTCACACAGCTTGGTGGTGGTGGAACCAGGATTCAAATCTCATTTCCTAGATGCCTAGTGAGGTCTTATGATGCAAAGGGTATGCAATCTACTGCTAACTGAAATGGTGTTGAGTCGATCTTACCAGAAGAATTTTAACACTTCAAATAGGTCTTTTGTGACAGATTTACCTAATGCAATTTAACATTCGATTTTTTAACTGCTGCTTCCATGAGTGTTAATTGAGGAACCAACTAAAATGAAATCCTTGACAACTTCAATTTCCTCTCCATTTATCATGATGTTGCTTATTGGTCCAATTGTGAGGATTCTTTTCTTTGAGGTTTAACCCATGTGTGGTGCTGTAGGATCAGCACTGAACTGCAAACTACAAGGTAGACAGTTCAAACCCATCAGCTATTCCTCAGAAACCCTACACAGGGTTGCTGTGAGTCAGAACCAACTTGCCAATACTTAACACCAACCTATACTGAAAGCTATAGTCTTTGATCTTCATCAGTAAATGCTTCAAGTCCTCTTTGTTTTCAGTAAGCAAGGTTGTGTTATCTATGTATTTCATGTTGTTAATGAGCCTCCCTCCAATCCTGATGCTATGTTTTTCTACATACAGTCCAGCTTCTCGGATTATTTCCTCAGCAAACAGATTAAATAAGTATGGTGAAAGGATACAACTTTGATGCGCACCTTTCCTGATTTTAAATCACATATCATATCCTTGTTCTGTTTGAAGGACTGTCTTTTAGTAAATGAGCACAATTATAAAATCAGTAATCTTGAAACAAAAAAAATCTACTCCTTTGCTACAAATGATTTGAGAAATTCAACCCTAGGTCATACCTAGACAGCTTGAATCCTTAGTGAGCAGAGCCAAGGTTAAAGCTGGGACCTCTGCTATGTACTTGACTAAAGGAGTCTGTTGGAAACATGGATTTGCTGCAACCAATGTAGCGAAAAGGGAGGAAAGTTAGATGGAATCTCTTGGAAGACTTTCTAGCTTCTTTATTTCTCTTGTTCTCTGGCTGAAACAGGGACACAGCATAACACTCAGTGTGTCTGAGAGGACAAAGCACAAGGAGCCCACTCTCTTTCATGCCCATGGTGGGCAGAGATGATCCTGCCTCTCAGAGTGTTCTGATGTACAGTGACTTCAGAGACAGTCCTCAGGAGAAAGATTAGGCAGTGTACTTATATAAAAACTTATCACCTTGGGAACCGTTCTACTCTGTCCAATAGCGTCTCCAGATAGATCCAGAGGAAACAGTGTTCCTTTAGGGGCAAGACTTTCCTGGGCAGGAGTTTGGTGATTCTGAGAAGTAAAATATTGCTAACACTCTGGCCATTTCTTAAAAGGTACTTCCTTTATGATAAAGATATATCTGTTAGCAGACCAGACATGACATAGCTACCTCGTTTGCCATTCTCCCAAACACTCTCATTTTGACCTGCCATGAGCACAAAACATTCTTCCTTGTTTGGGACTTAAAGAAGTAGCTAAGGGCCCCTCACCAGGCTTCTCTGAGGAAGTGAAATCATAACTACTGCTCAGTGTTCATGAGAACATCAAAAACAAAAACAGAAACCAAATCCACTGCTGTTGAGTCAATTCCAATTCATTCAGATGCTGTTGAACAGAGTAGAACAATTCCCAAGGTGATAAGTCTTTATGTAAGTACATTGCCTCACATTTCACCTGGGGAGTTGCTGGTAGGTTCAAACCACCAACCTTTGGGCAGTAGCCCATTGTATAGCTCACTTTTACATCAGGGCTCCTTGTGGGAGCATTCAATGGGTTGTAAGGGTACAGCACCTGGTCTAGTATTAATTGCATCGACACTTTGTACATTTGTTATCCCTTTTCATGTGAAAAAGGAGCCTTGGTAGCAGAGATTTCACTGATATGTAAAAGGGTTATACATCAAGACCACATAGAATTTAGTTCAAGAATATAAGATTGATTTGACATTTAAAAAGCAGCATAGGAGCAGACTACCATGGACTGCCAGAAGAACAAACAGATCTATGTTGAAAAAAGTACAGCCAGAATGCTCCTTAGAGGCCAGGATGGTGAGACTTTGGACACGTTATTAGATGGGCCTGGTGTGGCTCTGTGGGTTAATGCGCCAGACTGCAAAGCCATTTGAACTGCAAGGTTCGTTGTTCAAGCTTACCAGTTGCTCCTCAGAAACCCTATCCAGGGTCACTATGGGTCAGAACCGACTCGATGGCACTTAACAACAACACCAACTGTCCCTAGAGAAAGACATGGTTGGTAAAGTGGAGGTTCAGTGAAAAAGAGGAAGACCCCCAACAAGATGGACTGGTCCACTGGCAGCTGCAATGGGATTGAGCATGGCAACAATTGTAAGGATGGTGTAGAACCGGGCACTGCTTCACTCTGCTGTGCACAGGAGTGCTATGAGTCAGAACCAATTTGACAGCACCAACCAGTAACAACAATCCATCGACATGTGTTTATGTGTAGCCTCTTTCTCTTTCAACTAAAAACTCCTTTAAGACCAGACTGTTTCTTCAACTCTGAATCCTTTGCATCCACACTGAAGCAGATTTTTTATTGCTATTTATTATATTAATGGGTTGTATTTCTTTTAAATTACAGATATTAAAATATATTTTAATAGCAAAACAGTACATGTGCAGGAAAATCAGGCTGCTTTTAACAAACATAACCAAAGGATATAAATAAACATATTTGACAAAAAGTTAAACAGTATTGCCTATACAAAGAAACATCGTTGATTATAAGAAAAGTAAAACATAAAATCTTACATCTCAGTGAGGATTCATTTGTAACTTCTTGCTTTGCACACTTGACACCATACATTGTAACTTGATGTTTGTTTTATGCCATATCATACAAACAATAGAAATACATTAAAAGCTTTCTTGTAAAATGCAAAACCATAATGTAATTTCTAAGTATTACATATTTGGATAACCACAGAAACTGATTTTAACAAGGTATATCCTTTTGGACTGAAAGAGCAGTGTTAAATCCAAGCATTGCATCATCATCTGTTCTTCTCAAATTCTTCCTTCACTTGGTATCCTTTCAAACTTCTATCCAAATAAGCCATTTTAATAAAGTCAACAGAAGGGGCTAGAATAATTGTGAGCTCCAGACACTAGTATTTCTTTTCTCTCTATCAGTCTAGTTTGAAAAATATTGTGTAACACATTATTTACTGTTTCTTTCATTTAGTGTTCCTCCTTCACCTGCTGATAGACTGGCTCTGCAAGGGGTGGGGTGCTTAACGATCTTGTGGCAAGGTAATTCTTACATCTAGTGAGCCAACAAACACTACAGCTAACTTTGCCAGGAGGGACTGGCCTAACAAACTCTCCTTGAAAAATCTCTTTCAGTCTATTTGGAGAAATGTCAAATAAACGTAACATAGGCTAACAACTTCTCCATTGTTATTGCAGGCACTGGTGGCTCATATCCACTGGTAGAATTCTCACCTTTCATACAGAAGACAGGGTTTGATCCCAGGTCAACATAACTTATGGGCAGCCACTATCCATCTGTTAGTGGAGGTTTGCATGTTGCTATGATACTGAAACTAAGTCAATAGGAAGAAAGGCCTACCAATCTACTTTCAAAACTCAGCCAGTGAAAATCCTGTGGATCACAGTGACCCAGTCTGCAACCAATCATTGGGATGGCTAAGAACCAGAGAACGTTTAGCTCCACTGTTCATGGGATCACCATGAGTTCAGTATTATGATTACAATGAAAAGTTATCTGCTACTTCATCACCTTCCTTTCAATTCTCTTTTAAACATTACCTCCAACATGATTAAAAGAGATGTCTTAAAAATGGTGTCTTCATTTATTTTAATTTTTCTACATTATTGCCCACTGGATATATAGTTTCCATGGGCTAATCATTAGAAGTGAAGGATCCTCTAGTTTCCTAAGCCTCTTAACAAAAGAAAATGAATGCTGCAAACATTTTCCAGTTCTTGGAAACTGCTTTTGGTTTTGTAAAAAGAATAATAAAACAACTCCCCCCACCCCCTGCCAAAAAAAAAAAAAAAAGTCTTTAATGTTTACTATTTGAATGTATTTTCTAAAGACACAGTCTAAGTCCCAAGTATGTAAGCTTTTGTACAATCTTGATGTCAGAGATGAATTGGCCATAACACAGAGAGAGGTTCCAGGAAACTAAAGTTGACAAGTTTGTAGGCCACATACTGTAGGCTCTAACAGTGAACATCTCTGGAAGTAGTGATTTAATTCGATGCTTGCATTGGAATTTTCAGGGAGATGGCCACATCTTGTAAAGGCAGCAGTTTTTCTGAGCCAGCAAATCGATGTATTCTGAAAGGTTCCAATCAGCATCTTCTTTGTTTTTTGGTGTTGCTGTTTTTATTTTTGTTGTTGTTTTTAACAGAAAACTCCTGAGTCAGCTTTACACTAAAGTCTGCTACTGACCATAGCACCAGGAAACATTCCATTCTGTGCCTGGAGCATGGCCTGCCATGGAAAGGTCTATTTAAAGATGAACGACCGAGACCGGATTGTGCTATCCTCTTGGCCTAGTTGTTTTCTTATTTGTGACTGTAACAAACACACACATATGCATATTTATTATTTAGTGATAATTAACTTTGGCTGTAACAAATATCAAATAAGACATGTTGATTAGTAAAGAAACCGTATAACTATAAATTTCTTATTATGTACTCTCCCCCAAGTTAATCTGGTTTTCTGTATTTTTTGTCAGAGGAAATATTGTAAAGTGGTTTCTAAAACACTTACATATTAAGAATTGACCTTAGTTATGGTACATCCATAAAATACAGTACATTCAATGAATCAAACTGAAGATACGGCTAAATTTTTTTATGTAGAAAGATGTTCACAGAACACTACTTAGAGCATAATTAAATTTTGCCTTTAAATTCATAATTTCAAAGGGAGATTGTCTGAAAGTGTATGCATTTGAGATAATTTTCTATACTGGTTGTATATATTGCTGCATAATTATAAAATAGAATGAATGAAAATACTGATTCATCTTTGAGCAAAGGTTTCTAATGGCAAAGTATGTCCTAACTGAATATTAAATGCATTGGAAACATCTCAAAATAAATGAAATGTTTATTTGAATATTAAACTGGAAAGACAACCAAAGTAAACATACTTTGTATCTAGAAAGTATCTAGAAAGAAATATTTATAAAGATTCTCTGTTTTGAAAGCACATGTAATGTATCAGGTAATTTTGTAAAAAATAATTAGGGGGAAATTGTTTGACTTTTTTAAAACATCAAGGGTTTCAAGATGGTATTTAAAGGACATTTTAGTAAGCTTTAGGAGCAAGTTCTTGGTTAACACCCCACTAACTAGTGAACACATACCAAAAATGTGCCAGGCTTGCTGATTTTTATAAGAACTTTATATTCCTCTGTGGGATATTATAAACAGAAGATAAAATAAACCACCTTTTGCCCTTGATGTAGACAAAGTAATGCTTACACTGGAAACTAATCTAGTTCTCTGCCAAGCTTTCTTTTCTGAATATTTAAAAAGCAGGCGGCATTTCCACTATAGAAATGCTGTTTTCCTCAGTCATATCCTCTGGTCTCAAATGTTCTTCTACAGACAAGATTGTATCAACTTGAACACACTAAAGGAAGACTAGAAGCTGGTTGTTGTTGTTAAGTACCATTGAGTCGATTCTGACCCATAGCAACCCTGTATAGGGTTTCCAAGGAGTGGCTGGTGAGCTAGAACTGCTGACAACACAGTTCAAATGACCTTGCAGTCCAGGACATTAACCCATAGTGCCACACCAGGACTCCTAGGCTTATTCTCTAGGGTAAGACCTATATGTAGCTCCATCCTTCCTTTCTTACCTGTGTCCCCATCTCTTCATATGCCCCAGAAGAATGAACAGACTATTTATTCCACAAATCTACAAATATATACCCCACTGGTTGTAAGGGATAACATGACTCGGTGGAAAAATTAACATGAAATAATTAACATGTTATTTCTGGGGCTATTTGAGTAAAAATTAATTCAAAGGCAACTAACAACAACATGGGCATTAAGAAGATATTATAACTCACCAGTTTCCAGCGTAGTATCTTGATCCACTCATCAGCTTCTACTCCTGTCTTTGCACAGAGATAAAATGTCCTGAATGGAAATACTAGGCTGAGAAGAGAGAAGAAACAATGTCAGATGCTCAAGATGGTTAGTTACTTATACGAATTTGTTGAACATTATCTAGAATATTCCAAGGGAAAAATAAATCTGCAAAGGATCCGGACAAGAAACTTGATGAATTGCTATATACGAAACAATCCCTGCCAGAATTGCTGCAGAAACACTGAGGAAATTATAGATTCATGCTACAGGCCAGATTTAGAGCCTGTAACGAAACTACAAAAAAGAAACAGTCCAGAGTACGCTGTTGTTGTTGTTGTTGTTATGTGCCGTCGAGTCGAATCCGACCCATAGCGACCCTGTACAGGGTTTCCGAGGCTGTAAATCTTTACGGGAGCAGAAATTCAGCCTCCTCTTTCTCCTGCGGAGCGGCTGGTAGTTTCGAACTGCTGACCTTGCGGTTCGCAGCCCGATTCATACCCTCTAAAACCTTCTATTCTCATTGTTTTAGCTTGGTCTACTGGTAGCGTAGTGGTTACGAATCTGGCTGTTAACCTCAAGGTCATCAGTTCGAAACTACCAGCTGTTCCATGGGAGAAAGATGAGGCTTTCTGCTCCTGTAAAGATTTATAGCCTCAGAAACCCTGTACAGGGTCGCTATGAGTCGGAACCGACTCCAAGGCACACAATAACAACAACAACAACCATAATCAGCTGATCACTCAAGTGACTCAGAGTACCTGTGCTATGTTTCTAGGGTTAAGCAAAAGACAAATTAGAGAACTGTTGGACTTATTTGTGTTAGTTTAATTAAATAGAGATATTAATGCTGACCTTCATGGATGTAAGAAGTTTCAACTACTCAGGACAGGAAAAAGAGACAACAAAATGCCTTAGGTATTCATCTTGGTCCCCACTGGTCAGAAGTCAAGGATCCCTGGTGACACAGTGGTTAAAGCACTCAGCTGCTAACCAGTCAGTGGTTCGAACCTGCCAGCGGCTTCATGGGAGTGGTAATCCTTTTCTGTAAAGATTTACAGCCTTGGAAACTCTCTGGAGTGGTTCTCCTCTGTCCTGGAAGGTTGCTGGGAGTTGGAATGACTCAGTAGCAGTGGGTTTGGTTTTGGTCACATGTCAGCCTCAGCTGGAGGGGAATGAACTTTGCTACTGGTACAAAAGAACCTTCCTAGGAATTTGGTAATTGATCTTACTGCCTTCTTTGGCAACAGTTCCTGTCTTTCCAATTGATATGCAAAACATTAAAAATCTTTTTTTCTCTTTCTCATGGAAAAAAAAACAAACCAAAACATGGAATTGGTATTCAGAAGGGTTTTTATAAATCCAAAGCAGCAAATTTTGTTTATACCCATAAACAAAAGTGGAGTCCTAGTGTGGTGCTGTGGGTTAATGTGCTGGACTGCAAGCTTGGTTTTAACTGCAACATTGGTGGTTCACCAGTGGCTCTTCCGAAAACCCTATACAGTATCACTATGGATCGGAACTGACTCACAAGTACTTAACAATAACAACAACAGCAACTGAATAGGTAAGAGGTAAATTCATGCTTATACAAGGCCAATCCTTGATGTGAGGCAAGAGTGACAGTGTGTATAGACGGTGACTGTGTTCTGGAATTGTTGTTTGGTACTTCCTGTGAGAGACACTATTAATTACATGTGGCACCATGGGCTGCTAACTGCAAAGTCACCAGTGCACACTCACCAGCCACTCTTGGGAATCTCTACAGGGTGGCTATGAGTTAGAACCAACTTAGTTGTACGTCACAAAGCAGATAATGTTTTCCTTTCTATTTGCTAACAAAACTCCCAGGAAATAAGCATAATTAATTTAAGTGAATCAGCATAGTTCTATTGTTCTTTTCTGACCCATCCTGCTAGGGAAAGCCATAATATTCTTGGCTAAAGATATATAAAGGGAAGTCTAATAGGATAATTTCTAGAAAAACTTTTGCTTTCCTGATTAAAACAAAAGGACATGGCCGATACCTTTGTTTTGTTTTCTTCCTGCATTATATGCAGACTTGAAGTAGTAATCTTGGATCTTGAGAAACAAGTGTGAGGAAGAGGTCAAGAGAAGGTAGAAATACTGGATCTGACCTTGTCAATACACTGCTAGTTTATATGGCACTTGCATGCGAAATTTCTTAGCATTGATGATACTGTAGTTCTATACGTGATATTCACACTCTTAAGAGATTCCTATTCATTGGGAATATATCCACAAATATAGAAGGGTTTGACAGAGGTATGTGTACATGACCATTTACCTTTGCTACAAACAGCATACATACACATATGTGGTAAAGCACACAGGGTCAAAATAATGAAGACTTAGATACCGAACATCTTAGTATGGGGCCTCAGGACCATAGTCTCAGAGGACACAATGGTCAACTGGCATGACAAATACAGCTATAAAGTAGCCATTGGTGTATTGAGGTAAAGAGTATGTGGGTATATATAAGTCTTTCAACTTTTTATATGCTTGAAACACTTCAAAATAAAAATTAGTAGAAAATAATTCACTTCTACTTCACAACATTTTGCTTTTCTCCCAGTTAGAAAATTGTCATAATATACTGACTATGTTAGAACAAAACACTGTTAGTAATTGCCATAAACATATAAATCACCCATCCTCGGAGGCAACAAAATTATAATTAAAATAGATGAAAGTTTAAAGGAATAAAGTTGTCTAAGATGTGCATGTTATGTGCTTGTACAGTGTACAACCTAAACAACTGGAATTAGCAGACTTGCCTATTTTAAATAAAGTACTACATTATACTCAGCCAGTATTATGTTATCACTCCTGCTAAATCTCCCATGAGATGGTTAAATTCACATCAGAACATCTTTACTACCTTAAGACATACAGGTTCTTATTCTTTAGCTAAAATATGTGAATGAGAAGAACACTTTTAAGAACACTTCATTTTTAAAACAACTTACCAAAAACAGTTTACTCTTTCTTGTGAGTAATCAAATTGTACAGCTGAACATTCTGTTAAGTCGAGGATCCGAATTGGTTCTGTTGACTTTATTTAAAAACAAACAAACAAAAAAGACATATATTAGTATAAAATGCACACACACATGCAAATTTGTCCATAATAATTCCCCTAACAAGACTTCTACTGTGGTCAATTGTGATTTCTACTTTCACTAAGAGGCCTAAAAATGGAGAAGCCTTAGAAAGGGAAGTCATAACCTGGTATGAGTATTAATGGTAAAATTTCACGTCACTGGGTAATTACAAGAGAGTGCTTTTGTCAATTTACATTGCTGGAGATGGATTTTAACACATGGATGAGTGTCTTATTTTTCTTTCCTCTTTTAAAACTTCTTTCTTAGAAATTTTGTGTGAGATAATTTCAAGCTTAATGAAATGGATAGGGGGAATGGACATTTTTTGTTAAAAAGAGATTTAAATTTTGTTGTTGTTGTTGAGAGTATGCACAACAGAACATAAACCAACTCAACAGTATCTACATGTACAAATCAGTGACATTGATTACATTCAAGTTGTGCAACCATTCTCTCCCTCTTTTCCATGCTGTTCCTCTCCGTTAACATAAATTCACTGCCCCCTAAGGTATCTATAGAATCTTTGGAGTTGCTGTTGTCAGTTTGATCCCATATAGGTACTTCTTAAAAGAATACAGTGCTCAAGGAGACATTCACTACTAGTTAAGTTAAACAAGTTAGTTTTAAGAAGACCTTAGGGACTATTTTTGGCTTAGGTTTAGAGGATTATCTCAAGGCAATAGTTTTAGGGGTTCATCCAAACTCCATGGTTCCAAAGAACTTGGACTCCATGAGAATTTGAAATTCTGTCCTGCATTTTCTCTCTTTAGCTCAGAATTCTTTTATAGAATCCAATTGACCAATAATGGCAGCCAGCCATCATTAAGTTCTTTAGGCCTCATGATAAAGGGGACAGTTGTACATGGAGGCAATTAGTCACACATTTCAGGAAATGAATAAATTTTTAATAATGAGAGAAATTTCTTCAGACAATAAATTGTGGCAAAAGAACAATCCCATTGTCCTAGACAGAATTATGTTCTCTGGGAGTCACCGCACAGCCAGTACAAGATAGCAATTTCTAAAATACCAGTGTCATCTTTGCAAAATTGCTCTGCTCATGTAAGGAATCAGGGGGTCATAGTTTTAAAGATTTGTTGTTTGTTTTTAAGAGGAGTAAAATAGATTTTTAGGGGTTTTAGGAGTAGGTATTTCAGAGCTGATGTTTCAAGAGAAAATGTGTTATAATATTTCTCACCGTTTGATCTTTGAAATACTTCAGTTCATTCCTGTGTAAAGTGAACCATCTAGTTTTCCAAGTCTGGGGGGAAAATAACCCAGATTTTAATAAAAACATGCATATAGTGAATAGAGGAAGGCAATGTTTGAAATAGACAATTTCTTTTTCTTTAAAAAAAAATAATAAAAGATTAAACCCAAAAAGTAGCCTTATAGTAAGAGTCATTCTTGAGAAAAATATTTTAGAATAGCTACAAAAATTACAATTATGTCATTCATTTATTTTATAACAAAGGCAGAGGTATCATTAACTAATATTTAAGCAAATAAAAGAAAAAAAATCTATATAAATATTCAAGATGATTTATAACATGCAGCTTGAATGTTCATCTTATTAACCCCAAAACAAGACTAGATATCATTTTTTGAGTACCCATTGTGGGCTACCCTCTATCCTTGTTTATTACAGCTTAGCCATTCCTTACACAACAATGCCAAATATTATTATTTTTGTGGCACTGCAGGATAATGCACTGGGTCCCAAAGTCAGTTTGAACTGCAAGGTCGGTGGTTCAAATCTACAAGTTGCTCCTCAGAAACCCTATACAGGGTTGCTATGAGTTGGAACTGACATGACAGCACTTAATAAGAACAACAACAGTAAGTAAATTGAGGTTCAATGCTCTCATGCTACATGATACCCTAACCCTTGTCTAGGAATCCTACGGCATTTGTGCAAAAACTACTAGTTGCCTTTCAATATCCACTGTCTTCTTTTTATATGCTACCAGAATCTTACATCACAGTTGGTTGCTAATTGGCAGATTGGAGGTTTAAGTACCATAGAAGAAAGGCAAAAACAGATGGCATTGCCATGAAGCAGAACTGATTTAATGGTATCTGGTTAATCTTATTCTAGTTAGCAATTTGCACAGTTGAAAGAAGTAACAAACGATTTAAAAAATAAAATTTCTTTAAATGTGAATGTTGCCTGCTCTCAATACGCATAGAGTATGACAGGGACACAAATGACTAAATATTTAGGTTGAACTCAAGCAAGTAAGTACCAGTGAGAGAGGGTGTGTACCCCAACTCTTAAAATAGGAAGAAACAGGCATATTGAATGAAGGTCTTCTTAACACACTGAAATGAAATAAGTAAATTTAAAGGCACAATGATATAAATGGTTATTGTTGTTGTTAAGTACCGTGGAGTCGGTTCTGACTCATAGTGACCCTACACAGGGTTTCCGAGGCTGTAAATTTTTATGGGAGCAGAACGCCTCATCTTTCTCTCATGGAACAGCTGGTAGTTTCGAACTGCTTACCTTGAGGTTGGTAGCCCAACTCGTAACCACTACGCTACCAGAGCTCCTTGATATAAATGGTAGATAGATGTATAGCCTCAATTTATAAAGCCCTAAATTGAGTTTTCTTTGGGATTATGTAAAATAACGTTTATGACCCTTTTAGTCTTCTTTTACATGAACAAGTTATAAAATTTTGACTTGTTATTTGTCAAAAATAAGTGTTCTAAAGGTAGATTTGCTACTTTCATGTTCAATTTTTTTCATTGAAAGCATTTCATATATTTTTGAATATGAACTGTAGGTTATATAATGTAGGGCAATGCCAAAGAATCATCATTTTCCAGAATTTTGCTGAATTATCCATGAAGATGAGTCCCTCAAACAGATAAATATTAATTACAAAACAAAAACAAGACCAGTATTCTGCCAAGGAGTGGATTCTGACTTGTAACGGCCCCCAAAGACAGAGTAGAACCGTTTCCAAGGTCTTAAATCTTTGCAGAAGCAGGATGCCTCATCCTTCTCCCACAGAGCAAGTAGTAGGTTTGAATCGCTGACCTTTTAGTTATTAATAATAGGATCAAAATGAGTAGATAATTTTCTTTAAAATAAACAAAAAATAGGCTATTGTCAAAATTAGAGAATTCAGTCCACACAGTGTGTTGGCAGGCTTCCTTACCTTGACCAAGCCTCCCTGTTTGGTGAGGTAACCTTCTTTGGTGCCCAGCTGAAAAACAGAGAATCACTGAGTAAAGTCTAGAAAGGTCACAAAATAATTTTCCTCATTATGATTCTGTCCTATGTTAAAATGAAAAACAAGTTTGCCTTTGATTTTGAAAACATCACTTAACATTCTTCACTTAAGCATTTGAAAACCTTCCACACACTGTGAGAGATTGTTTTCACACTGGCTCATCTGGCATAGTTCTGCAGCAGCAGTAACAATGGGAAGACTCTCAATTACCTCCAGTCAGTAATTTGCAAATAAATAAACCACATCATTTCACTTATGAGAAATAAGTTTGGCAGTGTATTACATGAAAGCCACCTGTTTGGATTATTGTGTGTTGTGATGCTCACACACACACAAATGCACCTATGTGCACACCTGTTTAGTCAATATATTTGACAAACTCTGAATGAAGAAAAGTGAAGGCATTTCCTTAGTTCTGGGCTTCCCAGAGTTTGTATTATACTGATGTGCTTTGTGATATATTTTTAAGAAGTCTCCGTAGACAATGAATTGTCAACTTTTTATCATGGTGGTGGTGGTGTGCGTGGAGTCGGTTCCAACTCAGAGCGACGCTGTACAGGGTTTCTGAGGCTGTAAATCTTTATGGGAGCAGAAAGCCTTGTCTTTCTCCCACAGAACAGCTGGTAGTTTCCTACTGCTGACCTTGAGGTTCTGAGGTTCGCAGCCTGATTCGTAACCACTACGCTACTAGAGCTCCTTAACTTTTTATCATAGAACCTCTTTATTTTTCACAGATAATCTTTAAAAAAAATTTTTAAAAGGTTTTTATTGTGGATTGAGTGAAAGTTTACAGGGCAGACCATCAGTTTTACAATCAACAAATCATGCACCTTGTTTCATTACAATGGTTATAATCCCCTCCATGTATCATCAATATTTCTTTTTATTCACTTCAGCTCTTTTTTTTTTTTTTTCAAACACTCAGGTATATAAAATAATTTACACCACCAAAGGCCACATTCTGCAAGTCTGCATACTGGCCACTAGCTCTTAGTCCTTCTCTTCCCATGAATCTTAGAGTCCTCAGCTGCTCCCTCTCTCCATGTCCCCATCTCTGCCTCCATCTCTGGTGTCGCTGCTTCTCTGGATAAGGACTCGCATTTCGCTTGTGCGCTTCTCCCTTGATGGTCGTAGGGTCCTTTGTTTCTGGACTGTAAGATTAACCACACCCCCATTTTTGTTGCAATACTTCTACCTTTATGATTGTGACAGTCTTAATTAGTCATGATAACAATTACTCACTATTGAATCGTAAGAATTTTATCCCCATCTAGACAAGATGAAAACTATTCAGTGGGGACTCTTTCTTTCCCCACACACTATTAAACTAAACTCCCTCTTGAAACCTTGTAAGCCAGTCACTTTGTGGCTTTATCAGCCCCTCATTTTAGGTAGCCAGTGTCTAAGTTGCCCATCCCTATCTGCCTTGTGTACAGAGGGGATAGCATTGATACTTAATGTGAAGACTCCTTCCCTGTTGGTATTTAGAGTTACCACCTCCATGAGTATAGGTCAAGTTCATCAAATTGTAGCAATTTACCATTGTTTCCTTTATAAAAAAAAAATCCCCCCCCACCCCCATCTTCTTCTAGTTGAGTTCTGATTATCAAGCCATTGAGGTTAGGTCAAATGGGTACTATCTGTAGCTTTGGGTGTTCTTATGTGCCTGTTCTCACTTCATATCAGCTGGATGCTTCACTTTCAGCTCTAGCCCTCTGTGGCTATGTCCTTGTCCATGGGCTCAGGTGTCCCCAGGTCTCACCACAGTTTAAACCAATCAGCCCTTCCTCTTCTCTCTCTCATCTCCAGGTCAGTGGGAGTCAATGGACCATGGTTGAACTCAGCCCATTTCTTCACTGCTGGCTTTTCCCCTCTTTTCCTCCCCCTGTAGATCAACATGGGCACCAGCAAGCTTAATGCCTGCTCATGTGTTCCCTTTGAGTTTCAGTTTTAAAGGGCAGATAATCTTTTGAGACCCATATTCCATGAAGATGTCAGGAATGCAGATTCACTTACAATTGACTTGTTCAAAGGGATGGGAAGTAAGAATGAGTCATTTCTTCTTAACCATTTCTTTTTGACCATTAATTCCAGGGTAACAACAATACCACACACCTAAGGAGCTTGTGGCGCTGTGAATTAATGAGTCAGACTGCAAAGTCATTTGAACTTCAAGGTTGGTGGTTCAAGCTCACCAGCTGCTCCTTGGAAACCCTACACAGGGTCAGTATGGGTCAGAATTGACTCCATGGAACTTAACAACAACACCATCAAGGAGCTCCTTTGTAATGTAAAGAATGGTAGGGAGTTGTGTGAATAGAAATTTGTATAAGCTCAAGATGCTTAACATTTATTTTCCTTTGTTAGATTCTGAAAACATTGAATTCCTGGTAGGGCATTTTGCTCTAATATGGTATCATATCTAGCATTAACAAGAAAAAGGAAAAAAAAAAAAAAAGAATAAAAATTGGGTAATTACTTGTTTGAGGCTAAGGTGTTTTTTTCAATGGGAATTTCCAGAGTACTTTTTTCTTGAGGTAAATTCTCCGTAACAAATAAAAAGAGGAACAACAGCCACCACGGCAAAAAGAGTTAAAGCAAGAAATATTAAACTAGTTTTAAACTTTTCATGACATCAAAGTAGTGATGAACTTCCCAGGTATCCATTAAATAAACCAAAACTGGTGAATTAGGTATCAGTTGATCTGTGATTGATTTTGATACTAGAGAAATTGAACTGATTGAATTGAACTTAGGCATTATATTATGGAAATGGCAAAAACTATTATTTGGGCTTGTGGAAGGTTAGTGTTTAAAGAGACAAAATAAAGAAGGAATAAAATTGTTATATTTATTTATTTTAAAGCTTTTATTGTATACTGAGTGAGTGAAGGCTTACTGGGCAGATCATCAATTTTACATTCAGCATATCATTGTAATGATTACAATCCCCTCCATGTACTCTTACTTAGCCAGTAGTATTTACTTCTATTGCCTTTATTTATTTATTTTTATGTACACATACCACATTGAAAAAATATATATTCATTTAAATGTCCAAAGGGCACATTTTGTAAGCCAGCCTCCTGCCTGTAGGCACACTGCCTTTCTCAGTCCATGGGCCTATGGTCCCCTGCTGTTCTCTCTTTCTATGCCATTGCCACTGCCACCAAGAAGATTCTATTTAAATTATAGTATCATTCATTTCAATCCAGCTAAAGAATTTTGCTACTCTCTTCATCCTAGCTCCATCTGAATTATTATTGTTGTTGTTAAGTGATGTCAAGTCTGTTCTAACCCGTAGTAACCTTGACTCGTTTCTGAGGAGTGTTTGGTGAGTTTGAACCACTGGTCTTGCAGTTATAACTGACATATTAGTAGTCCAACAGATTAACCCACAGTGCCACATCAGGACTCCTCTACTCAAATAATATACTATAAATCCAGAATTTTTCTTAGGAATTGAAAGAAGTAGAAGGCTAAGGAATCATTGAGAATACTGATTTCCTTCAGTATCACAGCAGGTAAGAAAAGAAATAATTATATAACAGATGTGTCTTCAAAAAACACTATGATCTGGGGCTCAGGACATAGTCTTAGGGGACACCATGGTCAATTGGCATAACATAGTCTGCAAAGACAATGTTCTACATCCAACTATGGTGAGTAGAATCTGGGATCTTAAAAGCTCATGAGCGGCCATCTAAGGTGCAGTCATTGGTCTTTTCATGTCCAAAAGAAAAAAGAGTGATGAGAAGTGAAGAGGTTTGGAATTGATTAGTCCAGTGGAACATGTGAATATCAGTCTTTACAACTCTGATACCAGAAGAACTAGATGGTGCCCAAGTACTACTACCAACTGCTCTGAAAGCGATCACATTAGAAGGTCCCATGTAGCATGGCTGAATATGTGGAACAAAACTAAAAATTACTTAAAAAGAAAAAAGAAAACGGGCTTACTGGTCAGAAAGAGAAACCTGAGACTATAGCCCTGGACCACCCTTCAAATCTGGAAAGGAACTCACCCTAATGGCCCAACCTTCAGCCAAGCAGTAGATGGGTACAGAGGGGCGACAACACTAGTAAGGTATGTTCACAGTGAATGATGGAATGGACAATCATTTAAAACCAAAGGCAACATTTGCCTAAGGACAAAATTGAGAATGGGTGGGAAGGTGCGTGGAAAACAAACAGGAACCACAGTGAGGTAGTGGAATAACTATTATTGCATGGAAGGGATTGCAATCATTGAGATGAACCAAAGTGTATGATTTGTTGAATGTAAAACTCATGATCTTGTCTGTAAACCTTTAACTCAATTCCTAATAAAAAGACTATGATCTACAACAGTAAATGATTTTATAAGAGCTCTACATTGGAAACAACTTAAATGCTTAAAAATAAAGGACTAACCTTCATAACTTCTTGCTCTCCTTGTCACCTGCCTGCTGACTTATTTGCTTGCCTTGCTTACTAATACACTTAACAAGCTATGAGGCAGCATGAAGCAAGGCAGATGCAGCTGTGAATGGACAAGTGGCTGGCAGCCTGGTGCAGGGAGTGAGAAGGTCACTTGCACCCTGCCCACACAGGGTTTGCAGAGTATTTGGGTGTATGATGATGGTGGCAACAGCTTGATGGGTGACTGAGCAGGGTGAGGAGGGCTTCCACCTAAAGGGGTGAAAGTGATGGCCCAGTGTATAGTGCCAGAGTCAAGTTGACTAAGCAGGGATAGGTGATGAGTGCAGCGGTAGCAATGGCTTGGATTGGAGTGTTGAAGCCTGATTTGACTGATTAGGGTGTTTGGGAGAAGGGTAGTGGCAGTAGCAATTGGAGACTGTTTGAATTGTATTGATTGTTAAGTAGATAAGTATACTGAGGATAATGAGAGCCACATTTCTCACTAATAGGAGAGGGGAGTTATCGATATGAAAAGGAGAAATACACTTTGTGGTATTGAATTGGGATTGGAA